GGGGGGGGGGATCTGGTTTAGCACGCTGAAAAATTAGGACTTAGAATATTGACTTTTGGAATTTTTTTTAGGAAACTGTACAACCAATCCTTTTGAACTTTATAGGGTAATTTCTTATACCATTGAACTAACAACAAAATATTTTTTTGTCAGAAAAAAGTATTTATTATGCAAGTAATAATAACTTTTTATTCGGCGCGTCGGCGGGCGGCGTTATACGCAATATAGCATCGCTTGTATTTGTCTGAAATAAAAATCCAAAAAGATTATTGTTTATTAAGAGTTTACGTATTAACTGAACCTATTTTTAAAGAAAATAATGCAAAATTGTGAAAATCGCGACACTTGGAAAAAAAGTGATGATTTTTAACAAAAAATTTTTTGTGTTAATATGCAATTATTTAAAAATTATTTAATTAAATAATATTATTATAAACTGTGGTTCAAATTATTGGAGAAATATTTGTGCAGATGTGTGCAAAGGCCCAATCAGATAAATAATTTTTTAATTACCTTGCACGCCACCAAACACCATCAACGCCGAATAAATGTTACTATTACATATATGTTGTATAAATGTTACTTGCATAATAAATACTTTTTTCTGGCAAAAAAAATATTTTTTCGTTAGTTCAATAGTATAAGAAATTACCCTATAAAGTTCAAAAGGATTGGTTGAATAGTTTCCTAAAAAAAAATTCCAAAAAAATCACCTAATTTTTCAGCGTGCTAAACCAGCTAGGCTTCCCGCTTAAGTTTCGGGTGTGGACACAGGGTGTGAGCACCTTGTGGGATCTATCGCCTAATTAGAAAAATAGAAGTCCGCCTCTTGTCTAAACTTATGATTTTATAATAAATAACTGGAAACAGATAATTTTTACCCTCTCTGAGCCTGTAACCCTAGCAAAGGTCCATTTCGCCAACCCCTAGGTACGCCTCTGCTCTTGACAGTCTTTAATTAGCTGAGGCAGCACGCAAATCGGTAGTCAGAAGTCAGAACTCGGGTTCAACAAAAACTGAGCATAACATATGATACAAATATCATATAAATGTCATACAAATGTCATCGGAAATCAAACTTATCTGCTTGCACAGCAGAAATCAAGAGCACACATGCGCTGCCGTTTCAAAAAATACCTAACAATAAAAACACAGCAGAAACACAACATAATCTGTTGTCACGAAATAATAACAGAAACACACCAATATTAAATATGTATAGCAACCTCAATCTATATAATAGTTCTTTCCAGGATTGGATAAGTTAATTTTTTTTGTACCGCGTATATCCATTTTAAACTGTTTCTGTATTAAAAGATTGATAAATGCTTTTATCTTTGTTTTAATTTGCTCGTTAGTTTGGCCTAATTTCACTAAATTTTTTATTGTTATTATAAGGATGGGCTTGTCTTTTATATATTGTGTTAATTTTTTTTAACTATACGTTAAGTTAAAGTTAACAGCCTTGAAAATTTAACTTAGTTAAGATATAAGTTAATCCATAATAAAATTAATTAAATTAAAAGTTAAGATAATAAAAAAATGTAATTGAAAAATTAAAATTAAAATTTTTTTCATTTCATAAGTTTTCCATTTCAGACTTTCTAAATAAAGTGTATATTTGTTATACTTATTATATTTCCGTCAGGCAAAAAGAAGCCTGATTTCAACGAACGTCTTCCAACATGATCCAATAGAAAACCTACGAACAATACGTGATTCCTTTCCGCTATATTTATTAGATTAATAACTTGCCTTGATGTGCGTTCTGAAATTCAAGTTTGAAGACATCGACATAGATAAGTATTTTTTAGGAAGCAGTTTATAAGAAGCACTGAAAATGCAACATCAAGAAAGTTAAATTAAAAGTTAATAGTTACCGATAAAATATAACTAAATGTAATTAAGTTAAAAGTTAAGAGTCTAAAATGTAACTGTAAAGTTAAGTTGTAATTATTTAATTTTTTAACTTTTATCTTTTTAACTAGGTACTATAACCTTGGTTCTTTTATTTATCGCCATATAACATATGATCACACATCTATATCTCATATTCAAATTTCTATTACGAGCAAATATGAAAATTGCTAAACGTGGCTAATAAAAATAAAAGTAGTATTTGTTTATACTAGTTTAATTTCTGATGCAGTTTAATAAAATAGAGAATTCAGAATATTAAGCTGTTTAAAAATCTTTTAGACATTATACCGTAAGAAGTTTTAAAGACATCTTTAAAATGTTTTATATCTCGATTTTGGACATTGTGTACTATCTGGAAATTCTTTCAATGGAAAATTGTTTATTTATTGATTACTTGAGACGCAAAATAAGAATTCAATTTCTATCTTACAAGTCGAAGCAGCAATAAATCGCAAATTTTTTTATCGATATTGCATTTTTTAATAACGCTATATTTTCTAATACAGAATCTAATGCATTTTCCGAGGCATTTTATAATGCATAGGAAATTGATCACAATCGAATATGAAGAGAATAATCGACTGGTCAATTTCCTAAGCTTTAAGACTTACGACTGTTTACGATTCCTATTGTAGATCTCGTATAAGATTGTATTATAAATTTTCATTAATTTTGTTAATTTTTATTGATTGTATTATAATTTTTTTAACAATATTATAAATTTTTATAAACATGCCTTATAAAACATTTAATATAAATAACATGAAATAAGAAACATTATAATAAGGATTAATTGATACAAGTTTTATATATTTTTTAAAGTCTTTTTTATTAAAAATATATATTATGTGTCAAATATATATATATATATATATATATTTATATATCTATATCAACATAATAAATGTATAAAGTTTAGTTAAAACTTAAACTGTGCATAGCAATTATGCGAAATTGCATTTAACGATTTACAAATAATTAATCCTGAGAGTACAAGATAACGATCCTTACACTAATATCGTTAAAGAAAGAATCAGACAAAACCGCAAATATAAATCAGTGAATGATTTATATTTGCTGCAAATGTTAATCTTGTCGTGATGGAGAACATTTATAGACAGCTATCAAAATTATATATTACTGTATACAATTTTGATTACCCTATACAATTTTTATACATACAATTTGAGGTAGTATCTTTGATATCATAACAAATTTGTGCATTTGCAATCACATTTTCGCGTTAAGAAAATACGTATGAGATCTTGTTGTGTCGGATAGTTGTGGATAACGCTGAAAGAGCTTAAAATAATTTACAGTTACTTTATATTGTTGATTCCATCTTTATAAATTTTAGACGTTGTTGCGTCTGAGACTTGTAAAGTTGGTATATGAAAAGACGATAAAGATCTTCTTCTACCTTTATCTTATATTTAGAAATTTCTGGTTTCACCACCGATCTAAAAGCATTTTTCGATTATAATTATCTTAATACTGTGAGTGCTGATACGATATACTTACAGATCCGAACACAACTGCATGAGATGTTGCGGCATGTAATATCGGGCGTGAGGAGAGAGATCTAAGAATGGATCATTCACATTTGCCGTACTTTCTAACCCTTCGAACCTATACACGTCACGAATAAACGTTGAATGTAATTTGGGGTTATAGCAAGATAATTGTAATAGGTAATTATTGGAGCTCACCTTACGACAAAATGTCTGCGGTACTGACGCGCAACGCTGTCGTTTACTTTGCTCTTTGCCACTTCGAGCACAGCGCGAAATGCCATGTCGCGAAAATCGTGTATTTCATAATATTTACTGAGCTTATCCAAATTCGACTCGTTGTCCCTCGAGTTTGATATAACGACGGATCTCGTGACCGGTGTATCTATCCAAATGACGCGGCATTCGTTGTTAAGTAATTCAGTAAACCATGAAACAGCACCAACTTTGGCCACTTCATTCCACACAGCTCCGTTATGCCAGTCATGCACCTTTAAGAACAACGATTGTAACGATCTTACTCATTCGCATTATTTTGCATCATATAAATGCGAAGACTTTAATCGAGTGATGCTGATTAATTTTATAAATTGTGATATACGTTAACATATGCAAAATATATTGTTAATTGTTACACATCAAAAACTTACGGAACAAGAGCACATCTTGGCAAGTGTTTCACGAAAGTCTTTCATCAACGTCATAAAAGATGATGAATTATTGGTGTAAAGAAGAACAATATCATCGCAAGAAGGATTACCGATTTCCTTCTCACTGACATTGTCAATAATACCGAAATCGATGGATTTAGGACAATCAGAATCATCGTGCTGCGGATTTACATACAAATTGACTTCCTCCTTTCGATTACACAAATAATACCGGAAATATAATATTCCAATTGCTGATACAATTAGCACAATGGTAATAATTGGCAGCAATAGGTATGAACTTGCGCTCAGCACCTTGTCTGATTTCATCTCTCTCGATACGGTCGCGACGTGTAACCAATGATCGTAAGATTTCACGCAACCTACAAATATTATTTACAAAAGTATTAGTTTATATCTAAACAAAAAAACTATTTGTAAAATTAATATTTACGTGCGAAGTTTAAACTACTTTCTTAATATGCTAATTAAAACACGAGGTGCATCCAAGTTGTAAAGTCTCCTAATTTTTTTTCTTGGTAATGGAAATAGAAATGATATTTTAAAAGGCACGGGCATTTGATCGGGATAAATAAAAAAAATGGCAACATTGTCCGGCTCATAAAATGATCGTTCATAGAATGGGGTATTGGCTGATGTTGGAAGTGTTTTAAGGCTGCTGACTACTCATTGTCAGACAATCAGCCAAAAATTTTGCATTGACGGTGGCGATACTATATCGCGGTAGGTTCTTATTCATTGTATTAAAGCCCGTTCTACAGTACATCATATATCGGTATCATAAGTTGTAAGCCGTAAGAATTCTACAATATGTATCATAAGCAGTAAGAATTTATCAATCACAATCAAATGTAGAGAATGGCCACGTTCAGCAGACAGTCCCGATCAGTGAGCGCTCAGTGATTCTTTGTTACGATTGGTTTATTCACTCAGATCCAGCGAATCACCATAAGCGCTCACTCATCTGCTTCGTCTGCGGAACGTGGCCAATACTTGACTATGATTGATCAATTCTTACTACTTACGATATACGGCATACGACATATTGTAGAACGGACCTTACTGTGAAAAGTGTTGACAACGAAATTTTTTCTTGCATGCCATTTATTATGTGCTTAAATGTGACTTGTCTCATACTTCTTAAAAATGAATGGAAAGTAGTGTTATCTTTGAATTTTACATGTAAAAGCATATTTTTCACTCCTTTCAACAGCTGTCAAGTCATGTGTTTTCTTATCTAAATAGGCTTCACTTCACGTGCTTTTTACGGCTATTTACTGCCTGGGAGAAAAAAAGGATAGTTTCCATCCATTTTTACAAATTTTTTAAAGCAATCCTATTTTTTTATTTAAAAGTAGCATGCAAGAAACTTTTACGTGACATTTTTCGCTTATGACGAAATTCCAATATGGTCACGCGGTGACTAGTCAGAAGCCTTAAACCATAATAGTAAAGGGCAAAAAACTTTGATATTTTGCCTCTCACACCATTCTGTCAAGAATGCCCCTTCTATCAAAAAACCCAGCCAATGTGGAATCTATTCTACAGGGTGTCATTTATCGTGACACATTCAAATATTTCGAAAAATACATAAGATACGAAAAAAAGGTTTCAGACAAAAGTTATAGGATGAAGGAAGAAAAATAATAAAATTAATTTTATAACTTTTACAACACTGAAACATTTTTTCGCACTTTACGTATTTGTCGAAATATTTGGATGTGTCACGATAAATGACACACCCTATGTCTATTATACCACCTTGATCAAAAAGTTTCCGTTTACTTTTATTCATAAAATCGAAAATACAAAATTATTCATCTAGATCAATATTGTCGCCTTCAAAGTAATCCCTCTGACTGCAATGCACTTATGCTAGCGATTGATCCAGTCCTCGAAACATTTTTGGTACTCGATTTTCGGTATGGCCTTCAGGATGATCTTTTCCTGATGACCTCCTCTTTGCTGCTGAAACGCGTTCCTCGAAGTGATTTTTTGAGTCAGTTGAACAGGAAAAAGTCACATGGAGCTAGGTCAGGTGAATTCGATGGCTGTTGGATGGAATTCGTGTTGTTTTTGGACAAAAAATTACGAATTAGGTGTGCATTGTGAGATGAGCGCGTTGTCGTGATGCAAGATCCACGAGTTGTTTCTCCACAAATCGAATCTGTTTTTGCGAGTTGCTTCGCACAAACATTTCATAACATCCAAATAATACTCCTTATTGACTGTCTGGCCTTCTGGCAAGAATTCGTGATGCACAATACCATTGAAATCGATGAAAACTGTGAGCATTGCCTTCTTTTTTAACTAAAAACGATGTGGTTTTTTCAGTCTCCGTTCATCTGGAGCACGCCATTCACTCGCTTGATGTTTTGTTTGTGTGTCATACTCGTAAACCCACATCTCGTCGCTAGTAATGATGCGTTTGATGAATATTTCGTCGGAATCGACCATGGAAAGCATGTCTTTCGCGATGTCAACACGGTCATGTTTTAGCAAAAAATTCAGCCCTTTCGGCATCAACTTCGCAGCGACACGTTTCAAGTCCAATTTATTGGTTAAAATGCTCTGAATGGATTCAAACGAGATTTTCTCTTCTGCTAACTCTCTGATGGTCAATTTGCGGTTTGTAGCCAATAAATTTTGAATTTCATGTTCCTCGATTGTTGATGTCGATGGCCTGCCGGAGCGCTCGTCATCGTCAACGGACTCGCGAAGTCGCGACCACTTTGGAAACGTCCATGCCAATCTGCTGTTAGCTTCAGGGCATCGTTGCCGAAACACTTATTCAACATTTCCAACGTCGTCAGGACGTTAATTTGGTTTTTAACATCAAATTTAATGCAAATACGTTGCTCAATTTTTGTATCCATTTTTAAGATCGCAAAAAATCGCAAAGATGCAAAAAGTTGTTCCACTGTAAACACTGTAACTTTGACAAATGTCAACCGATGACACTAAAATTTGGAGGGAACGTAAAGAACAATTGTGGCAATCTATCAAAATAAACCGAATTGAAATCGGTTAACTGAGAGCGCCACACGAGGACAAGTCGGGAACTTTTTGATCAAGGTGGTATGTCTATACTTTAAGCACTAAAGTCGAGCATCATGTGTGGACAAGCTTCACCTTTCTAACTGTCGTCTCCACGAACGCATATTCACGATATCCATGTTTCACTCAATTGACAATAAATATCGATGGATATTATCCCTTACAAATAGAGAACAGACGATAACACTGTTCTGAGAACATCATTATTTTTAGTGTCTTAAAACAATTCTAATATCAGTCGATGCCACGAGTATTTTATGAGCTGGACGATGTTGCCATTTTTCTTATTCATCCCCAACGAACGCTCATGTTTTTTAAACGTCATTCATATTTACTCTCATCTTCGAGAAAAAAATTAAGATATCTTACGACATGAATGCACTTCGTACATCAATTAGAAAAGCTGTTCTGTTATTATTCCTATTAATTCTATTTTTTGTAATATTATTTTTGTAATATGTCATTATACCCATACTTACGCTGTATCCATAAACATGGCACTTTATTTTTTGCATAATATGGATTCCATATAGTATTCTGCTCACATCGTTCGTCAATCAGTTGATACAGAAAGCAATGACCTTCAGTTGGCGTTTCTATTTGAAAGTTACATCGTACTCTCTTATGTGTTCCTTCTTCCATTGGCTTGACCTATTTGAAAATTCTTTTCTTTTTAATGCAATTTACATATGTGCATATCTGAATATACAGTGCAAGCCAAAAGTTTGGAAACACTTTTCAAATATATCCATAATATATTTTTTTTTAATAGTAATTTTTCAAATCTTTTAAATTCTTCAAATAATTATTTCATAAAATCGAAAACAATCTTATCTTCGTTTTTATCGATTCATGTAATTTTCATGTAATTTAGTGCATCATATAGTTTATCTGCATTTTTATTGGTGTTTTCAAACTGATCTGGAGTGTAGATTTAAAAAAATATAAATATTTTGATAGCTTTAAAATAATGTACAGTCATAGACAAATAGGTTGCGACACTTTTTTTTATTTATAGGTTTCAAAACGCACTAATATTTTGCAAATACAAACCACGATTGATGTTATACTGTCTCGAAATTAAAGATAGTACACCGTGATTCGCATTTGCAAAATATTAGTTATCTACATAAAATATATATTATGTATATTAAATATTAGAAACCTATAAAAAGTGTCAAAACCTATTTGTCCATGACTGTACATTCTCACATAATTAAAAAAAAATATTTACCAATTTTACATTGCAATGTTTATCTGTAAATTCATCGGGAACTGCCTGCAAAAACAAAAATTTAAAGAATATCAACTGCTAAAAAAAAAAAGAAATTATATTTTAATAATTTAAATATTACCAGATTAATTGACCATTGATATATTAATGGTTCTCCTGTCCAGATACAAATTTGTCTTAGGTCTTTATTCCGCGGCGATATCAACGTCACGTTAAGGTAATATCCTGTATAACCTGGTACGAAAACATCTAATGTGAAGTTTTTTACTTTTCTGTAAATATAGAAATGCAATATTTATTTAATATTTTTACGACATCAAGTTTCTAAATGGATACACGTTTCTTAAGAAAAGTGTCATTAGCTAAAATATTTTGATAAATTGTAGAAAGTGTATTATAAGTAACATATAGGGTCCTCTTGTAATATTATCATTACCTTTTCTCAAGATTGGAGTGCCTTATATCGATGTCCTTATATCTACAGATGACCTGTGGTTCTTTAGCTTCCGCTCGTTGATAAGTAGTATTCAGAAATGCAGGCTCTCTTATTATATATTTCTGCTTACCTATGTGAAACCGAAGTGCATAGCATCCTGTAAAGATATATTTGAACGATAGCCAAACATCATCCTGGAATATAAATTATTTGTTGAAGTAAATCATTTTTAAATAAATTTAATAATATAATTCAACATTAACAATAAATGTGAAAGAGCATACCTGCCAAACTGTACATTTAAACTACTACTATATATACTTTTTCTAAGTAAATAACAATTATTAATACAAACATGATTTAATTTCGATTAATCATGTTTGATAACATCAAATCATTTGATTAAGTCCTTATTGCGATACATAAAGTCGCAAAATAAAATTTAAATTAACTGTAATATCGAGCAAAACTTTGGGATCTTGTGAACTAAATCCAAAATAATTAAACGCAAATTTGAACAGAATGAATAAAAGTCACGAGCAACTAACGGAGTGCAAAATATTTAGATGTACACAAAAAATTCAGCATAGATTCATTACAACTTGGACTTCCACAACAATTAAATAACAGTTTTACTTTCCTGTCCGCAGGGTTGGATAGTGCCCAGTTAAAAAGATAAAAGTTAAGTTAAAAAGTTAAATGATTTTAACTTAACTTAGTTACATTTTAGGCTCTTAACTTTTAACTTAATTTAGTTACATTTTATCGGTAACTATTAACTTTTGATCTAACTTTCTT